TATTCTTTTTTAATTTACTTCGGGTTTTAAAATCTTTTTAAATGGGTAAATTATACTTTTGCAAGAGAAAAAAAAAAACATTCACAATCTAACCTAGTACAGCGGTTCGTTCTCGAATTAGGTTATTTTGATGGTCGGATTACTTGTTTTTTAAGTTATTAAAAAAATAGTCATCCATGATATATATCACATATCAAACATTCGTGAGTCGTTACATATCATTAATATCTAAATTATTAATTTTCATAACAATTTTAAAAATAGAGTCTTCAAACCTGCGAATCAAACCGTACTTTTTTAAATTTTTTAAAAATTTAACGTAATTCAACCCAACTTGGCCAATTGGTCGAACAAACTATAATATATATAATTTACACGGGGGGTTAGGTAGCATTCCATTAAGAGGGTTTAGTCGTTCACTTAGCGAAAAAAACCCTACATGAGAGTATATAATTAATAAATATATAATTAAAAAAATGGTTAGTATATTATATATAATTAATTTGAATTATTGAAAGGGAGTTTGTTGTATATAAGTGAAGCTGTGTCGGCAAAGTTAACAGCAAAGGCCCCTCTACTATACAAAATTACAATTTCTATCTTATCCCTATTTCTTCATAATTTCTTTCTTTGGCCCATATTTTCTTCTTTTTCCCTCACTCTATAATTGCAAATTAGTCCTTTTTTTTTCTTTTTTTTTTTAGCTTTTTCATTATTTGCTTTCACACATCAATGTCGGGTTCTACCCGTTAAGTTAAATTTAATCTCAAATTAATAATTATATTAAACCCTAAACTTTTGTAATGTGAATAAGATTAATATAATGTATGGATTAAAGATGATAAGTGACGATTTTTCATTAAATTTGAATTATTCTTGATCTATTATTCTCGACTTGTTTAGAAAGAATTAGTTGATTATTTTCTCTACGACACGTACGTACACAAACATTATTGTAATTGATGGAGGAGAAGAATGTTGATTAGTTTAATAAAGATTTGAAAAAAGAAGAATGAATGATGATGTTTCCTATTGATAATGCAAGAACACATTCATCCCTTAGCTTCAAACACCAATTTGGTTCCTCTTTTTTGTTGCACTTTGGAGTATGGAGTTCGTACGGGCATTGTCTTTAATTTTGCATTCTCCCAATGATGCCTTTGACATGTGGGTTTGCACTTCAATTATAACTCCAACGCTTCTTTTTTATGTATATCATTCTTGTAGTGAGTTGTCAATGGGAGGGAGACTCTTCCTATACATACTTTAATTCCTTTACCCTCTTATTTTTAACTCGTTTTTTTAATGCAATCAAAGTACGGGCGAGTGAAAATTTGAACTTTTAGCTTTAAAAGAAGTGGATGTTTTAACGGTTGAAGTTGTACTCATGTTGTATACTTTTTGTTTTGACGTGGAACGGAGAAGAATAGGTGTAACACCCATGCTGCCCAAGATTTGCATCACGATTTAGAATTTGGATTCAACACCTAATGATTCTGACGTTTTTCTACGATATGGTCACGTTACATACTCCTCGCTTAAGAATGAGAACTAACCCCACATATCAACACAAGTCCTTTTAGCGTTCTTTGTCCTCACTCACTTGCATTCTAGAAAATTTTGCAAGAGGTCACTAAATCTAAAACTACTCCAAGCAAATCACACTTGAGGTTTTAACCATCCTATCTTGAGGATTGCTCTCATTCGGATGTCGTATCAGTTCATTCTTGTACCTCTCCTTAACTCGAGTGTTACAAAAGGAGACAAGAAGGTTCTTTTATGTGGTTCGATTATTTCCTCAAATCTACCTTAACATGCAACGTTCAAAGAATAAAGTTTATTAAATAAATATTAGTCTACAACATAAAATGAAACGTCAATTTGGGTACGGTTTAATAGATTACAAGGCATTCTTATAAATGTTAAACTTTTTTTTTTAAAAAAAAAAAAACATTTCCTTCTAAAGCCAGGAACTTACCTCTATTTTTTTTTAATGCATAGAGTCATTCGCATTTGAAACTATAATTGATATCTTTATCCAGAAAACAAGTATATTTTTTTAGTGGCATGGGGCTTTATAATGATATTGACCCGAACATAGTTCAAATAGTCGAATCCGAGTACTTCATCGGTATTATTTTTATTATTACCATGACAAAGTGGTGCAAATCCATATACAACATAATCAGATACATTTATTTATAATACACTGAGCTTCAAGTTCATTGGTTCATTAAGAAACATTCATGGATTGAAGCTAGCTCGACCTCCAGGGCTTCCTTTTCTTGGCTCATGCCTTGGGTTGGCACTGGGTTCATTATAGTCCATCAATATTGCTTCATTTCCCAAAAGCTTTCTCGTCACTTGAACATTCCCATGAGCTCCTCCTGCAATGGAATACCATGATTAATGACCCGTTCTTTACGATCATTCTTAATAAAGTCAATCCAAACAGACCCGAAAAAAGACGGGAGAGTGAAGTTATACCTGAAATAAAGGAGGCGAAGAAGAGGACGAAGATGAGGAGGAAGGTGTTAAGAGGCATGGAAGACATTGTTGTGGCTTAAGAGGTTGAAATTTGAGTGTTTAGGGTTAGAGGAAAAGGAAGGGTTTTATAGGAAAGAAGGATGTAATGGGAGACCCAAAGTTGAGGCTTTGTTGTCATCATCAAACTCTCTATTAAAGCTTCCCCCTTCTTTGTAATCATTTTCAAGTTCATGTTGTACCTGTTCTCCACTACCTCGGAAAAGTCTTAATTTTTTTTTTCTTTTTCATTTAGCCCTCGGTTTCTATCCCTACAATCCTAAGTGTAATAGCTGAAGTCTACTTACGTCTACTGTAGAGAGGTTTTCACCTCCTCATCAGGAATATTCATTCCCCCTCTCTAATTGATGTGTGATCTCACAATTCACCCCTTTACAGGTCAGCGCCCTAATTAGGGAGAAGTGCACCCTCGTACTCGGATCTCACAACAAGAATTAAAAATGTAATCAATTGGTTTTATTAATTTTAATGATCAATAATTGAAAAGTTAATAATCCATTTCAAATAATTTTAAATGACCCATAATTTAAAAGTTAATAATTTAGTGAGATTAAATTATAAAGATTTGATGAACATTAAATTAAATTAAATATGGAAGCAAGTTTAATATTTAATTTTGTCAATAATCTGTATTAATCATTCATGTTTAGCATTTTCACAGGGTTGTTGGGGTCCCTCACACGTGTGCTACGCATTATTCTATTAAAAGATACAGTCTCACTTTACAAATCCCATATTAACTTTCCATTTATATAACAAATAATTAAATACCTAGAACTGTCATCATCCTAACCATTTTAGTATAGCTCAGGCGTAAATGTTTAATATTTTTAATCTTCGTAATAATTTTAAAAATAAACCTTATTTTCAGGTGAGTCGAATTGACCCAACAAAAAAAATGTCAATCTATGAGCCCATCCAAATCCACCGCTAGTAGATATTGTCTTCTTTAGATTTTCCCTTTCGGGCTTCTCTTCAAGACTTTAAAACGCGCCTTCTAGGGGAAAGTTTCCACACCTGTATAAAGGGTCTTTTGTTCTCCTCCCCAACCAATGTAGAACATTGCAGATCATCTTTATCGGCAGAGAATATTAATTTCTTTAAAAATATTTACATTGTTTTTATTCAAATATAACATATAAAAAGAAAAAAAAAATAAAAGCATAATTAATAATTAAAATGGGTTTTTGAAGTGGATGATTATAAATTATTGGTCAAGGATAAAAATGATTAAGATTCCAAATGTTCTAAGTTTGCTTGAATAAATGAAGCTTGTCTCCAAACATACAAACAAATGGCCCTATTTCGTTCCATTTTGGACAATAATCTATGCTCTTTCTCCTTTTCTATGCTGCCATTCATAATTGGAATTCAAAACGTTTAATTAGTTTGTGTGTGATGTTTGAATAAAGAAGGAATTGTCCATCATATTGTCCGTTTTGGCTCATTATATATCGTTGTCAGTCTCACGATTTTAAAGTGTGTCTACTAGGGAGAGATTTCTACACTCTTATAAGAAATGTTTCGTTACTCTTTTCAACTAGTGTGGTGTCTCACATGAACCGAGACAAGTAAGTAACGTGATCATGTCGTATGAACCTACTAATGCATTACATTTTATTTTAATTATATATGTAGGCCAGATCTATACTTCTAGATTTTTTTCAAAGTGCTAATTGATAATATCTATTAGAGGACGACTCCAGTTATAAGTCACATTAAATTTATATTATTTCATGCTAATGTGTGATACGGGCATCTAAAAACACTTAAATATATACAAAAGAGACATTAGTTTAAGCTAAAAATAATGTTTCACCTAACGAAACATCATAGTTCCAGCACCCTTTTAATTTAATTATAAGATAGTACTAAAAATGATGAACACTAAGTGTTTGTGTTTAATAAGAATTTGATTAGTTTAAAACAAAATTAGAAAAGCAATTAACAATAGTGTCTCCCCTCCATAATGCAATATAACCTTTATCCCTACAAATACCCATTGTGTTCCTCTTTTTCCCATTATTCTACCATATCAGCATATATATACACATCTCGAGAATAGCTTACCAATACAATAATAAGTAATTGGTCACGAGGATGATTAACCAAACATAATAATTAAAGGTATTACACGAAGGACGTCCTTCGCATGAAATGAAAAATTTCATTCAATATTTATCTTGGTTCTGTAACTCATTTAAATTCTCAATCTCTAAACTTTTATATCATCTATCATCTTGATTTTTACTGTGAAACTCGAGTAAATAAGAAGTATATAAATAAACTCATACCACATTCAAATGAGAGAAATCTCAATGATAGGATGATTAAGGAAGTCCGGAAGAAAATAAAAATTACTATTTATATCAACAAAGATGTACCTTCTTTTTTAGGTAATTGAATCATAAAAATTTCATAATTAAGCATGTTAAACAATGCTCGAAAATCTTTCTAATTCAAATCTTAGACATGGGTCGTTACATTTATAGTCCCAGTCCCAAGTAGCATAAATTCGGACCAAAAACGAGTAGGTCCATCGAACAAAGGCTGGCAAAGGAATGCAAACACATAACACAGCAAGATTTAGATGGATAGATGCCTTGATAAGAGCAGAATCAAACTCAACAGCACCACCATCAGGGGTGTGGGGGGGGGGGGGGGGGGTTTTTTT